GTCGATGTCGCTAGTTCTAACTGACCTTGAAGTGTTGTTTGTATGGACCACATTTATTGATGCACATTAACGCATTCATATTTTGACTAACTGACTAGATTGCACGCAGGGCGCGTAATGCTACGACAATTGATTCAGCGAGGAGTACCTGCCTGCGGAACTATTTCGCCTGGTAGTTAAAATTATTCTTCCATAACATTTATCCTGTTGTATTGTTCGTGATTTTCTCTCACTTATGCGTGATTTAAGACTTGCTAGTTAAGTACTTAAATTTGCCAAGTTGGATCTAGTCGATGCAGACAAAGGTTTGATACCCTGTGACAAGTGCAAGGAGGGTTAATCGCGTGCACGCAAAGCAGCGCGACGGCGCTAGCGTTTTGCTACCAGGGGAAGACTGAATTAAGTCTTAACAGAAAAGCACTCCCATTCTTTTTAATGGCTTCCACTCGTAAGAAGGAAGCAAAGAGCGATGGATTAAATGCTGGTCCACTATAGGACAATTCATCAACGAAGCTATAATTATTGTTTCGTGGATGGGATATGCGTAGAACAGTCAAAATAAACTAATTACCATCCTTTATTCGAAACAGTGGGTTAGATGGTGACACCTGTTGATATCGCGGCCGTTTGTCTCGACTCCCATGACGATCTGTAAATCGTACCGTAACTTATGGCGAAACTCCACTTCGCGTGCTTTTAGTTTTTATTCGACCTCTCGATTCAGGTTCCAAATTCACATATTCAAGAATAATTTACCAAATACATGAAAAAGTTGTGCCTACTCGTCATCGCAACAACGATCGTCGTATCCCTGCCAACACAATCCCCTCTTTCCCCGCTTCTCTAGGGGGGGGCTGCAAAGCGGCCTTCTCGAAGGTCTAAGTGTTCTTTTGAATATTTCAGTGCCAAGTTTGCGTTCTTAAGTAATTGAGTTTTGGAAGGATAACACGTTTTTCGAAAGCATTTGCCGATGCTAACCATACATAGAACACAAGACACTGAAGACTGGTAATGTCAATAAAACAATGTGAGTGTTCAGTAACGAGTTTAATAGCCCCCTCTGTTGTTTAATTATGTAGGTGAGGCAGACAATTCAGATTTTCCTATGTACGTAGTCTGAAAAGTATGCAGGCAACCTTTTCACCCATCGGTAAAGAATTTCTTAAAGAAATAAACATAATTTTCCATAGCTAAGGGAAGAAATTTGCCAATTTGACATACATAACCGTAGAATGAGACAAGATCTTTCCCGCAAACTACCTGAAAATAGCCTAATTTTAATTACAGGCTTCTTCTTTTCACCTCCAGCCCGTCGCTTTACAATAAGTGACCTGTCTGAACTCCATCAGAATATTCGACAAACTTGTCGGGATTTTGCCGAAAAAGAACTCGCGCCAAGCGCTGGCCACTACGATAAGACTCACAAGTATCCTAAGAAAAAGGTAAGCTAACAGTTAAATGACTGAAATCATGGACATGACACCGAATTCCGATTTTTTTAATTGGGAGCATTGTTTTATTATAAAACAATATGCAACCGACCGTTGTATTTGATCATTTTACTATTATTTTCATAAAAAACGCCCGCACACATGCCGACATTATAGTGCAATAATTTCTCGTGTGGACATTCCTGTAAACAATTGTATCATCCTTGCTTCATGTTGCATAACATATACTCACCTGGACTCCAAAACCTTGCTTGCCAGTCTGTAAACGTAGTCGGAAATTAAATTTCTTAGCATAAATCAAGGCTTTACTTACGGTCCAATCGCCGTCGCTCGGCTCAGTGGTCCAGGTTATTTTGAAGTCCGCTCATCCATCTTTGTCCGAGTATGTTGATAGCAGTATATTAATTAACTGTGCCCCTTCAAAATTGTATCGCTTTAATTCTCTCTAACTTTTGAGTATATGCCATTAATTGGACAGCAGATTAGCTTATTTATAGAGCATGAAACGGGCGTCAACAAAGCTGTAAAGGAAAAGTCAGTTATAAGATATAACGCGCAGTACATCAGTAAAGTACGCTGCGATGAATCCTCCTCGCATTTTCCTGTATGATCAGTAAATAAAGTGAACTCCCTGATCATGGATAGAACAACATTTTGGAAAAATAACACGTCTCACATACCACCACAATGATCGGAAATCTTATATTGAACCACGCACCGCTAAAATGTCTTTCTTGAACCGGAAGTGTCAACCTAACAAGCAGAATTGAACCCTGCGGATTGTCTTAAGTTGAAAAATCAGTTTGCTTGTGCATCTGCGATACGCAACTAAAGTGATTTATATTGAATGACAGCGGTATCGCCCGCTCATCTGAAATAGAGTTAACCACCTAACAGACTAACGGTGCAGGATTTTGACTTACGTTTGTGCATTTTTATATTCAACCGGTGTTCTCTTGTGTCAGCCGTATTTACTTGATAAGACTTTGGTCCAAAATAGACAACCCGCGTCAGTTGCAGCCAGTTTCCGCTTTAACCTTTAATTTAGTTAAATAGTATTGCAACAATTTCTTCCAAGGTGACGCACATCTTTTACTTCCTCTAGAACACGGTATAACATTTTCAGTGAATGGATTTGCTCCAAACATAGCATTTTGTTTGGGCAAATATTATATGACATCAGCAATAGACAGCTGTTCGAAACCGGACTTATTTTTATTATTTTATGCCCGTTGCTTAAACATTTTATCGCTGGCAGACAGCATAACTTTGCAAAGCAATGATCCTTTGGTTTCCTGCACTCACCTTCTTGAATGATTTAGATTTTTGCAAGGTTCCTCAAGCTACAGGTGGTCCTCATAAGTGCCTAGATTTATTGTCCTAGGTTCTTCCCTCCAGTATTCTGACTCGAGACCCTAGTTATCTCGCGACGGTGGCAAAAATATTAATTCGAAGATAGTTCGCGGTCCTACTAATATAGCCGATTTCGCGATGTTTTATAAGACAGGTAGCAATTTCCTGCTTACGATGGCTAATAATCCAGAACTGGTCATTCCTATCTCCCTCGGTTATGCCGGTCATGTTATTCAAGGTGAACCGCCAGTGAAATAAGACGTTTCTAAAGTGTTATGCAAAGCATCACCCGGATTCGCGCAGGTAGATTCGGTCTCAAAAGTTTTAATTATTTGAATTCTGTAGGCACCCAAAACGCTCCCTTTAGAACCTTTTCTCATCCTAAAATACTGGAGTGAGTATTTACACTGACATACTCTTCGTTTAAATTTCTATTTTCCGCTCAGTGTAGGTCCAATTCTGTGGTCCAATTTTCGGATTAGGAGGACGCACTGAGCGACCCGCTGAGTGTATCATATTTTTTCAGGCGTTTTACTTTGAACATTAAACACTGCCATTCCATCTTAAATTGTCCGGCCTTTCTGTTTGATGTTGCAACGTGGTTTTATCATTTTCAACCTGACATGAAAGTCTGCTTACGTCTGGTCCCGAAAATGTCCTTCATAGAAGGTAGGGGAGACGGGCATGCTAGTATTGTGAACTTTGCTGTCTATTCCACAGACGCGAGTCAAGTTCCGAAAAAGAAACCCCGTGTGAGCCTTTCGGTTTTTTTCATTTTCATTTTATTGAATTTAAAATTGGCCCTTTTATCACCCAGCTGCAGGCCTTGGAGAAGGTGATAATGTCTGTAATACCAATTGCCTCCCTGTTCCAACGTTTCGTTTCTCACTATTGTTTTTTAAACAACAGTGTTTTGCGTGGTTTTTGAATTGTCACACGGGAATCGCGCTACATTTACATGAATGGCCTTATTCACACAAACTAAGACAATAGTCCTCTCTCTTCTTCTAACAGGTCCAGAAGCTTGGCCAACTGGGTCTCATGTCGATGCTAGTGCCAGAGCGTTATGGCGGTAGCGGAAGTGATTACCTGGCCTACGCCATCGCTATGGAAGAAATTAGTCGTGGCTGTGCCTCAGTTGGCTGCGTTCTCTCGGTCAACAACTCACTCTACATGGCTCCTCTGATAAAGTACGCCAGCAGCCAGCAGGTTGAGGAGTTTATCAAGCCCTTCCTAGACGGCGATCATGTAGGCTGTTTCGCTCTGAGTGAACCAAACAATGGCAGTGATGCTGGGGCCGCCTCCACGATGGCCCGCAAGGATGGTGACGGCTGGATTCTAAATGGTGTCAAGGTGAGCAGGGGGTCCTAGATTTTTTTGCTTTAATGCGATTAACGGCGGCTGCTTATCTGTTCGTGCCTACTACCTACTTGACTACACGTACTGTACATGTACATGTGTACACTGGGCACATCACAGAAGGGCAGTGTCCGGAGATTAAGTCAGCTAACTTGGGACCATTTTCGTTTCTCCCCTATCGAATTCAGCTCAAGAGACTGTGCTGTGACTAACTTAATACTCTTCTTACCGTATAGTAGACAGATGTTTCTGTGGCGGTCAGATACCTTTTGATAGCAATGCCTAATTTTTTATCGCAATTCGATAACCCATAAGCGCCTCTGTGGAATATCTAAAGCAAACCTAAACCGCTGCAATAAAGTTGGATCGGAAAACGCCGCTCTACTGCGTATTCACTATCGTTAAGGACTTGGACGGTAACACGTTTAACTCAAGCGCTCAATGCTGCCTGACCCGGGTTCAAATATCGTTTCTTCCCAACTTGAGCTTGACTATGGCTTTCTGATGAGGTAAATAAAATCAGAAATTACCACTCCGTTCCCCCACATTTGTCGGTAGCACTTATTGAGGAAGAAAACAGCAAACTCCCTGTACAAATTAAAGACTTAACCACGGGCCGGGTCTGATCGTTTTACAATATTTCCGCGAATCTCCATAACATCACCTGACATATAAAGAGGACGTAATTTTACGTCTTTCATCTGGTCAATGGAGTTTTTTCTGCTCTTTTTATTACATGTATTGTTCCCTTCAGAACATTCATCGAATTGTACGATCGCGCTAACGGTATGACGTGACCCCGTTACCGTCTTGGAGAGCATCGAACTTTGATTGGCCGAACTTCAAGCCATCCCCTGTTTTGTAGCTAGTATCGACTGAGGGCCCTCTACTTTCTGATTTCTGACTATCGTCGACAACGCATCCCTTAAAGCGATTTCAAATCGTAAGCCTAATACCTATCGAGGTCACAATATCAAGCCATCGGTCTCAAGGATCAAGCACTCGGTTACGTCCATTTTGTCCCGAGGGCGAAAATACGATAGGACCGAGAATGGCCTCAGAAGCACCCAACCCTTCAACGCGTGCCTCGTGTCCTATGAAACCATCTTAATTCGGGTGAAAAGTAAGCCAGCAGTGTTGCTGACTCCTAGTGGCTCTAGAAAGGGCGTTTTGATACCACAGGCCGAAATACTCTGCTCTCCTAGCAAGCAGTACTCTTGTCCTCTGCGAGAAGGACAGGGAATCAAATTTCATAAACATCTTAATGCTGTATTCTCTATACGATGTTTTCATTTGCTCCAGTAATTTTGGTAGTCAAAAAACGTACGCCTTCAAGAAAGTAACAACCCGCACAAGTACTGAACATCAACAGCAACGGCTTAGATAAGCGGTGAGTGAAATTACACAGGGGTACTCTATCAACACGTCGAGGTTCGTTGGAAGAAATCGGACTGCAGGCTTGCCGTTGAAAGGTATTCAAGGCAAATGACTGTTCCAGCAACAAGAGGACAACTCAAATCTCATAGGCCAATATTTTAACAAGCGTCCGCTTACATCTAGTGCACCTCGATAGTCATTAGCCGTCCCATATAGTTTATATTTCGCACGAATTAGAGGCAACTGCTCTCCTTCTCCCTCCCCGAAGTGATAAACACGAAAACATCACTGTCAGTAACGGCAGAGATCGTGTGTCAAATCTGATGCGGTTTAGGGTAGAGCAACTACATGGGAGAAACTGGAGGCCTGCCTTTGACGCGGATGGCGAACACGCATCAGCAATGAAGAACTATTAAGTTAACTTCAAGTCCCGGTTCACAGGACACGACTCTTCTACATTCAACTTCGTAATCCCAAAAAAACCTGCAAGCGTCGAGTTTCGAATCATAGTTCCCAGATTAAGAGTTGATCAATAAACCTAACTACCTTCTCCAGTCCGTTTAGTATTCGGATTGTTTCGAAAACATAATTATTCATGCGCGGGGATCGTGTGTGAATACTGCTCTGAGCGGCGAGTTGGTAACCAGCACGTGCGTATGCTGGGCGCATCTCCAACACTTTGGTGATGTTCTCGTGACCTCTGCGATCTTCTCCTCATGTGACCCTTAGAATATTTATAAAAACCGCGATGGGCTCCTCTTGAGGCGCTTCAAACACTCTCAGCAGCAGGCCATCCTATCTCGCGCATACTTTCCCCTCACGTTTAAGTTTGGCGTTAGCCTAAGTGTGGTTTTGAAGTTGCGAAATTTCAAATGAAACTATCGAAAGATAAACCAGCCAGCATACGCCTCTTTCGATAAATTATCATCAGGATTATACATTTTTATTGTAAGTAACTAAAACTATGCGGGTTGGTAGAAAAAAATAGTACGATTGTCAGGGTCGGTGAGAATGGGGACCAAATTGGGATTAGTAACCTGCTCACAGTCAGGTGGACTGTCCGCCGAGGAAGGTGACCCTCTGCGAGCGATTGTATCGGCGCCTTTCAGCCACGGTTATTATGGCGGCGCCGTTGCGAAGTTCGTTTGAACGCACAGGACCGGTTTGCGTAGCCTGAGGTTTCCTGTAAGATCGTCGGATGCGACGGTCGAACTTTCGTGATTAAAAATAAACCCCTTTAATAGGTGAACAGTGCCGACAAATGCAAGACCGTAGGCTATATAGATCTGCCTAGACTGCTACCCGCTCTGTGGCTGCCGGTGGGGCTCGAGAGTGAGTCCTGAGACAGAACGGGACGAGTGAGTTCCACTAGCCATCGATGAGTGTTCATCAAAGAACTCCTTTGATACTCCTTTTCGCCTTTAATCCGGATCTTGTCCTCAAAATTTCCTTCGGTTGGGGGTTTATATTCGATAGAGTTTTCGGCAACGATTGCTTATATGGTCCTATAAACGGAACATGAGAAAAGGAACGGAGTGCCATATAGGCCACTTTGCGCTCAATAGGAGTGCAACGGGTAGGCAATTTCTCCCACTAAAAGCAGCGGAAATCGAAGCAGCTAATCGTAACTCTAAAACTGAAGCTAACCCTTAAATATAACTCTGAGACATTATCTCTAACCCCCGATAGTCTGACCATTGATTTCGATGATGTCCACCGCAAGCTCCAAACAGGATGTTGCAGGGACGGTGAGTTGCGCGTGAATTATATTTAATTGATAGCAGACTTGCGCAGCGTCTACCACACCCTCTCATCCCTCATCTATCTGTGTCCGGAGTCAATAAGACCGAAGGCGGGATCGGGCGCTGGTGGCTGGCGCTGCCAAAGCTACCCATATGCGTGCCGCCTGCCTCCCCCCCATGTTCGCAATTTCTATTGGTGCGAAACCTGCATAACGTCTGCTGTCCCTCGATCTGCCTGCAACAGTAAATGTCGCATCAAAATCATCCAACAGACGCTAACTTGACCTTGTTTTACGTGGATTTCCACGATGTGATATCTGATGCGCGCAGCATTGAGCCATTCTGACTTGTTGACCGGAGCTTACTGTTTTTTCTGCGTTCTAATTTTAAACACGGTAAATTATTCATTTAGAAGTCTCCTGTCAGCAC